TTCTTCCCTGTTATATATAGGAAAATATAGTCACTACTAACACAAAAACATAAAAATTATTAAATTATTTTACACTACTCAATCGAAAAGTGAAAGTTCGTCCTGCATTACGTCATGCGCGGTTTGGACGAATTTTGAATCTAAAATCAGCATATCTTTAGTCAGCATACCTGCGTGTTACGTATTTGTTGACAATTAAGAGATAGAAATTTAAAGTGTATGTATTACTTCGAATTAAAAATCGTTTTCTAACATAAGAAAAAAGTTGAGTTGGGTCTTAAGAAATACACAATATATATAGTTAGTTTTGATACAAAATGTAAAGTTAAGTGAATGTTTGTATATTATAAGAAAAATCGGTAGATTGCCTAAAAAATCGGTATATCGGTAGATTTGTACAGATTAATATCAAAATCGGTAGATCTACCGATTAATAGGTAGCAATGGCATCCCTGCATGGAAGGAAACTTTAGAGCCACGCCTGTCGAATGCGATTACTCCTACCACGCTACGATCCCTACCGCCTGAATGGCGCGCATTTCAAAAATGGTATGCTGCCGCACCCTGTATAATCCTAAAGTTAGCATTAGAGCAAGCAGGAAACTAAAATAACAACGTTGTCAGTAAACGGTCGCCTGGCTACGTGGGGATTACTCTTGAGTATGCACCGTTGACGGTGTGTGTATCTCTAGGCCCATGACACTCCCTGGGCGGGAAAAAGACGCGCAGCTTTTACTGCGCTGACGTTTTCGGGATATAACCTATCACTTGTCATAAATCCAGTTAAAAACTCGCTACCATGCGCAGGCAACCCATATTTCGTACACAAATATAAATTTTTAGCCTTATTATTGCAATAAAAGCATTAGGTTTTTAAATCAGAAATACAAAAAAATTTAGGATTACCACCAAAATCAGATTATATAATGCCTTAGGAAGACTCCATCTTGAGTATGTTTCACAAATATGGATGCCCTTGGAAGCCACACAAATTGATCATATATAAAAAATACTTGTACCCTTATACCTAAGATCTCCTATAAAACTATGCTCAATAGTTTTAAGATTAAATCTCTTTTACAAAGAAGAAAGCAACAGGCTGTGATATATTTTGTACTCGTTTAAGTACAAAGATTGTGAATTGATTGACTATATAAATGTTAATGCGGCAAAGATTAATCTAACCCAAGTAACAATTATTTGATTTAGATCCAAGTAGTATATCTCCTTTTAACAAGATGATGGCTGTTACCAATGAGTTTCTTAGCGAGATCAAAATAGATATCTTTAATGTTAGCCTAAGAAAGTTGAGGACTGTACTAAATTAAGTTCACTAGATATAAAGGTTTGTTTTGTTTTTGGTCTTAAATTTCTTGTTACTTAACTCTACATGTAACTACTATTAATTTTATTATAGTTTCCAATAAATAAATTATACCTTATGGCTGCTTTCAAACAATTCCGTGTATAGTCACTTAGTTTAAAGTCAATTTTAAATTAGTGGTTTTACAAGAATGTCAAATAGTAATATGTATTGTGTCTATGAATTTGCTGTGTGTAATAAATGGCCAATATACATAACTTTGATATTTTTATCACAAGTGTAAAAACTACGAAAACCATATACATATAGTTCCCATTTTAAAATAAATTTAAATTAATTCATAATAAAAATAACTTGAACTCATTCACAAAAACAAGTCACTGAGTATATATTTGTAAAAAAACTACACTAAATATGTCTCCGTTACAATTTTTTAAATTTAAAACTACATACTTTCCTATAGATTTTGCAGTACCTAAATAACGTATAAAATACATTTTTACAATATACTAGAAAAGTTTTAGATTAGAGTAATTCTTAAGAAATAAAGCAATACCTCTATTTTGTTACTCTAACCTTGTGTGTTATATATTTCCCTTGGCAAACTAACGTTATATTTTGAACTAAAAGTAATTAAACTTTTCACCAAAAAGTAATATTTCACATATATAAAAAAAATTAAAACGGTTCTGTCCTTCTTACATTTGCGAAGACTGCCCTGATATCTAATCTATTTTCTTCTTCAAAGTAATTAAGTTGTTCAACCGTTGTCTATAAAGGTATCTCACATCTCCCTCATATACACGAATTTGAAAAGCAGCAGAACAAAAATTCAACTAACCAGGTATACCAAGTCCGTGTAAAGAAAACTTTTCATATCCCGAAAACGTCAAGTGTCAACTAAAATTTCTACTTTTAAAGATCAAACGTGCCGCCTCAGAGTGCCAATACTGATTGGTATATATACTGGGGTATCTCGCTACATGTCTGCGCTCTGCGCTGCGCTGTGTGATGTGAATACACACATTATATCCTCACAATTACAATGCGGCCGGGCCGTTGGCAAAGTTGATATTATTCGTTTCCTTCTCGAACTAACGCAAAGTCTCTGTAGTTTTCGCTTCAACACTAGCAAATCGTATTGGACGATTTTCAATAGTTGATACTGTATATTGTTACTTTTAAAAAGTTTCTTAGTTGCCAAACGAGTAGCTGTTTCTCTTTGGAAAATGGTCGCCCTATTTATGTTGTGACACATGGCTTTGATATTTTATTGATTTTATTTATTATCTTGGTCACATTTGAGTTTGGAAATATTTTTCTTTTTATGTTCGCCCAAACTAAGACTGTACTGTAATATAAAGGTTTCAAAGAAAATAAAGCAGCTATTCAGGAAAACGTAGAAGCTATTCCAAGAGCTGTGCAACGTCCATAACTTGTATTTATTTTAATTAACTCACAACTAGAAATCATGTGTGCAAGTTCTGCGTTGATGAACTGATGGTCACCAAACGGAACCGAAAATGTCCTGTATAAAAGAGGGAAGAGACAGATTACATTCTGCTTCTAATAAATGGTATTGAAAGTTTGCAACATCCCATACAATCAAGCCGCAACTGATGACATAGCAACTTGGGAATATTAAGCTCCGAGCGAGTGCTTTGAATTCAGGGTCGGTTTAGGGATGCGATGCAATAAAAGCATCCTCCCTCCCTATGCATGTTTTACTTTTTTGTTCTATCTGTACTAATAGTCCAGTTCTGGAGGGTAACTATTTTTTATGCGCTTCAAGAATACCGGTGATTGGTGAATAAAATTATTTTTCAGAATCTATATACAAAATATAGGGTGATTTATTATCCAGGATTTGTTTCATTTGGACCTATTAGAAAAGAGTTTGAAATTGAAAAATTGGAACATAGACGCTCTATAATCAACCTTGTCTTTTTACATAAATTATTAAATGGATATTTGGACAGTCAATATTTATTGAGTCAAATAAAAATTAATGTTCCAATAGCAGGTATTCGTCCACGTCAATTAACTTTTCGTGCGGATAATCATGGTCCAGTAGAAAAAATTTGTCTTTTGTTTAATGTACACTCCGAAGGCATTTCTTGCGGTATTTTTGATGTAGCTATAAGCACATATAGAAAGGAACTTAACAAAATTGTTGGGCTCGATTAAAGAGACATAACCTTGTAGGATTTCCGTGGCCTTGGTGTGGGGTTTTGCAGACGCTCTGATTATTCCTGAATATTTCTGATTATTTCAGTAGTTTTGTTCTTTAACGAACTTTGTTAAAATTTTGTAGTAGCGAGGTTTGTTTATTATAATTTCACTTATATATTTAATTAGATATTATGTATTTTTATTGATTTCTATTTTCGCTGTATTTATAGGAACATGTAATTAGGCTCATGCCTGTTTGTTTCTGGAATAAATAAATAAATAAATAAATAAATAAATAAATAAATAAATAAATAAATAAATAAATAAATAAATAAATAAATAAATAAATAAATAAATAAATAAATAAATAAATAAATAAATAAATAAATAAATAAATAAATAAATAAATAAATAAATAAATAAATAAATAAATAAATAAATAAATAAATAAATAAATAAATAAATAAATAAATAAATAAATAAATAAATAAATAAATAAATAAATAAATAAATAAATAAATAAATAAATAAATAAATAAATAAATAAATAAATAAATAAATAAATAAATAAATAAATAAATAAAGAAATAAATAAATAAATAAATAAATAAATAAATAAATAAATAAATAAATAAATAAATAAATAAATAAATAAATAAATAAATAAATAAATAAATAAATAAATAAATAAATAAATAAATAAATAAATAAATAAATAAATAAATAAATAAATAAATAAATAAATAAATAAATAAATAAATAAATAAATAAATAAATAAATAAATAAATAAATAAATAAATAAATAAATAAATAAATAAATAAATAAATAAATAAATAAATAAATAAATAAATAAATAAATAAATAAATAAATAAATAAATAAATAAATAAATAAATAAATAAATAAATAAATAAATAAATAAATAAATAAATAAATAAATAAATAAATATTTTACATTGAATGTGGAATCGTTTTGTCAAAATATGAAAAATGTTCTGTAGATATTGTAATTCGCAATATCAGCAAATAACCAAGTTTCAGTGAAAATAATTATCATAGGAACAATTTAGGATATCAAGATAAAGTTTAGATATTTTGGTGGGCAATCCTCTTATATTATGGTAGTACAGAGACAGCTTGTTTGAATCAATAAGTTTTTTAGTTTGTTCATACAATTTTAGGAATATTCTTGATTTTTTTTAGATTCTAATACGCAATTTAATACAGTATCTTTCACTGGTTTCAAAAACCGAAATTATTACCCACATAAAACTGATTTTTATGAGCAGTATAGCACAGCATAACCACATCACGTTAATTACTTGTTTTCCTCAACTATCCAAATTTCTGATTCTATTTAGAATTTTTTAAATTTATTAAATTATGTGCTTCCGGATTTTATCTACTTTAAATGTTAACAAGGTCGTAGTGTTTAGGTTCCACGGTATTACTGACATATACCTAAATATTAAATATTTTTTAATATAAATAAAAGTGTCTTACCTGCCAATGTAATTTTCAGGATAGGGAATGATTATTCCCTCGGGACTAGGTCTAGGCGAGTTTCCTATCCAAAAAAAGGCGTCTGGACCCGTCCCATCGTACGAGAACCCTTTGATAAATATGGTACTCTCGTCCACAGCGTACGCTATGCCTCTGATACCATGAGCAAATTCCACCAGTCTGCCAATTTTCCTGCCGTAGTAGGGTTCTACCGGTTTCATACATAAACCTGGAAAAAAATATGGAAAAGATATAATTTATGCAAAAAAATAATTGGTGAGGTTTGGGCACCCTCCAGAAAACTGTATTAGAACTAGAAGATTTTAATAGACTAATATACATTTTAGATTATTAATATCGCCAAATTTGTTATTTCCTTAATTTTACTTTCAGAAAAGTGTTTACAACAAATTTCTGTTTTTGAAGGAATAAAGTTACCCCTAAGAATTGCATTTAACCATCTTTGTCTTAAATTATCGTCCTTTGGAAATTGTAAAACGAATATTATATTTACTCTCTGTTCTTGTTTTAAAACACTAATATAATGATTATTCTACGTATAGCCTAGAATACTGCAGATAATAGGCATAATTATTAAAATTATTATCCACCTTGTAACGGGCCAATAACGGGCCACCAGACACTTTTTAAGTATAATTTTAATTAAATGATTAAAAGTCGGGTTAAAAACATCACGGACAGATATCCAACGCGAGAAGTACAGGTGTAACAACAAAAACCACTTTATTTCGTAAGATTACACAGTTATCATAAAGAAAAATTTACAATTAATACAGACTTTTACCACAAATTAAAGAAAAAATGTTTTAATTGCACTTAATCTGCAAATTTCTTTTCTAAAAAAAAATCGCCGGTAAAACTAAAACTTACGCTTCAAAAGTGTACTAAACGTCAGTGCAATATACCGAAAATGGACTTAATTACCAGATTCATTTCTGATGGGATAGAAAGTAGAGTCGGTAATGTAATGTTATTTTAATTTTTCTTTCAGATAACATTTATCATTTAATATAAATTACTTTATCTGTTGAAACAGAAAAATACTATTACAATGGTTCTAAAAACACTTAAAAATCAAATATACACCATTTTCAAATATATAAAATATACAAAACAAACAAAAAATTGCCTATTTATAGGTAACAATGTAAGGCGCGAAAAAATGAATTTGAATCGCTCCTATAGGAAGAACATTTAGCTAGGATGAAATGCTTTATATACAAATCCTAAAACCAGTCTGGATTTATGGCATCTACCTATAGGGATGTGCCAGTAAGAGTAATAGATTAGATTAGGAGTTGGACGTTATTTGTCCTTGTCCACCGCGACCTTTTCAGATCTATTGTGGGACTCCGTTTGTTTTAGAGTATGTCGTCTAGCCTGGTCTTTTTTATTAGACTTAGTAGCTTTGACAGTGGCTCCCGCATGTAGTTGCATGCAATTGGCTTTTCTTCGCCCAATGTTAGAAACCTCATTCCAGCCAGGCCTTCACATTGGCACAGGACGTGAAATGATGTTTCCTCTTCTTCTTCTTCACAGAACCTGCACAAAGTTGCTTCTTCTGCTGGATTTATGACACTCATGTGCCTTTTGAGGCGACAGTGTCCAGTAAGAAGGCCTACTGTTATCCTAACGATTTGACGCTTTTGATCCAGTAGGTCTTTCGTAAACTTGGCCGATGGTTCCTTGATGAACTGTTTGACCTGTCTCAGTCTTGGATTGTTGTTCCACCATTCCTGAGACTCTTTTTGCATCCATTGTTTAATGGATGCATTGCACAATGCCTTAGCAACTCCACAGAAGGGTTCGGGGCCTGTCATGGCCTTATCTGAGCCTTCTCGGGCTAATTCGTCGGCCTTTTCGTTGCCCTGATATCCCTCATGGCCTGGAACCCAGGCTAAGGTCACCTTATTTTGACTACTTAGCTCTGTCAGGTCTTCTAGACAGTCTTTCACCAGTCGTGATTTGATTTCTGGTGAGAGAATTGCCTTTAGAGCTGCTTGACTATCAGAGTATATGGCAATAGTTTTGCCTGATACTTGCTGATTTAATATTTCTCTTAGTAAGAGTAATATAATGATATCGGTTTTCCAAAACATAATGAATCCTTGATGTACCTTGGTTCTACCGAAACAATTATCTTGAGGCTTGAAGATATCAACAGTCGAAGATTAAATAAAGAGGTTTGCTTCGAAACATTAGGGTCAACTCCACTCCCATATCAATAAAGAAGCGCAGCAATTTCTGAACAATTCTACACTTGCCAATAGGCTCAAAAAATACCAGTGTAAAACAGTGTAGTTAATCGTCACACCATCTTGTGTTTGTTTATAGTCTGAATAAAATAGGAGTGCAGTGAAAATGGAGATATAACGTCACATTGTATAGACGTACTTTGGAAAATAAGTTTCTATAATACAAATAAGGCATATAAAATGGTATATACGCACACTTCCTCGATTAAATTTTAAATAAAAAAACGTTATATTATTTACAAAAAATAAAAATAAACCTTAAACTTCTGACAAAATTGTTGCACTTTAACTTTAAACGAATTAAATATAACCAATAAATAACAAGAAGGACTATGTTGTTAATGGGGCCAGTTTGTAGAAATGAACGCATAAAACCCACATTTCTTGTTAAATATTCTCAGTTTGTATTGCTACATAATAATTAGACATATCTAAGACTATTAAAAGCCAAAATAGTGACATAAATGTTTTTCCAAGATTTTGCGCAATAAATAAAAAAATATCAACAATTTGGTCGAATCCTCCACCACCGGAGGCAGATTCGGCTAGCACTGAGGGAGGATTCAGCCAATTCTATAAATTAATAAGTATACATTGAAGCAAAAGTAGTGTGATGAAAAATATAAGCTTAAACGATTATCGATTCCGTGAAAATTATAATTGATCCGAAAGAGTGATTGAGTTCGTGAAGTTCCAGCTTTTTGTGGTTGTGTAAGCCTAGCCTCAATATCATTAACTTGCACCATTGCTATATCATTAATAATAGGAAAGTGGAAGCAGGTTAAATGTCTCTTTCAGCTTTAAAACTTTTCCTCCTAAATTTATGTTCATTCATCAGAGCCTACCTCTGGAAGCATGGCACTTTGCGTTTTTTTTTTGTTCCCAATTTTTATCTCTTTCTAATCATGAGTATGCGTGATGAGCAACTTTGAACTTTTAGGACTGAACATCAGATTCACCTATAGGGAATGCGGGTTCCGTTGTGCCATTGTTGGCTCCCTTAAAAACGTTCTGTAGAGTCCAAATTGGTACAGCAGAATCACGTAAGCGATATTGTTGTTTTGACTTGACATTTAATTAAATTTTTTGGATTTCTCAAAAAAATAAGTAAAAGTAAAACATAATTAAATTTCATCCCTTCTCCAATCGCAACTACGCTACACTTGGCTTCTGCGGCGCCTTTTTTGTTTCTTTCCTAGAACCATGGCACAACGGGATCTATTTAGCCCTAGTCGCCGTTGAAGAAAAATAATTTTTGCAAATAAAACAATCTCTTGTAAAATAGGAGCGTATTGAATTTTTAACCATTAGTTCATCAACTTCTCTGTCAGTTTTGCTTTTATACTTTCGATGCATTTACAAAATCGAACAAAAGATTTTTTAAATATTACCATTAGCCCAAATTCACAAATATGGCACGTGGACCAGTTACTATTTATATTTAAGGTTAGGTTATTTATCAAAAATCAGCTTGTGTGCGTTAAAAATCATTGACGTTTCGCAGGAAATTTGAAATAGAAAAATTAAATCGCTGATGGCTGAATCCTCCCAGGAGCCGAACCTCTTCAAGGATTTAGGACTGATAATATTTTTAGAAAGAAGCTATTTTGAAATATCTTATTTTTTCCATCTTGTTGTAGGTTGTGACTCCTTTAATCGACTTCAGTATAGTTCTCACATTTAGTGGCTATTTCGTCGGTTAAGAGGTATAGAGGTATTAAGTGACCAATTTTTACCATTCATTCATATGGAAAACTCATTAAGTTCATATTGTAGATAGAAACATAAGTTTTTCAGAACTAAATTTCATTTTGTACATTACTAATATCAAACAGCTCTAAACATAGTGAACAACTGGTGCAAAAAGGAACATTGTCTATTAACGCACAAAAAACGACAGTTGTACCATTCACAAAAAACGGGTACTTACAGGCCTAAGACCACTAGTACTAAACAACATAGTTATTCCATTCGTCACAGAAGCCAAATACCTCGGAGTCATATTTGACCAAAGGCTGACGTAGAATCAACACCTAAAAAAACTCGACATACAAAGCTACAATAGCTCTCGTAAGCTGTGGAAGAATATGTGGGGAAAACTGGGGTCTAAACACCAAAATGACTATATGGTTATACACAAAGGTAACCAAAACTGCGTAGGCAAGTGCAATGGCCAACTCACTGACATTCAGGGGCTTGTCTGTCTAAGTGATGGGGCCATGCGCACTACGCCGACTGCAGCAATGGAGATATTATTAAATCTCACGCCACTGCACATCTTCATACAAGGAGAAACCAGGTCAGCTATTCACAGGCTAATGCAGGGACAATACCCAATAAGCCAACTACATAGCGCCGATCACAAAAGGCTATATCAGCAAGAAAAAGGGATAATATTTTAGCTATGCCTACTGATAGAGTGATAACCACATACAAATTTGAAAGAAAGTTTCAAATTCAAATACTAGCCCAAGAATCCTGGAAACAGGGACCTTCCGTACAGGCTAAACTCGTCTGGTACACAGAGGGTTTAAAAAACCAAGGAAGGAGCCGGTGCTGGAATCTATGGACTTAAGTCGAAAACAACGATTTTGCTGAGTTTAGGAGAATTTGCAACAATGTTCCAGGCTGAACTAATAGCCATACAACTCTGTGCAAGAGAAATATTAAATCAGCAAGTATCAGGCAAAACTATTGCCAAATATTCTGATAACCAAGTAGCTCTAAAGGCAATTCTCTCACCAGAAATCAAATCACGACTGGTAAAAGACTGTCTAAAAGACCTGGCAGAGCTAAGTAGTCAAAAGAAGGTGACCCTAGTCTGGGTGCCAGGCCATGAGGGATATTAGGGCAACGAAAAGGCCGACGAATTAGCCCGAGATGGTTCAGATAAGGCCATGACAGGCCCGGAACCCCTCTGTGGAGTTGAATTGTGCAATGCATCCATTAAACA